ACTCTTTCCTTATAATTTTGAGGGTAGCTAGTAACTGAGATATTGGACATTTGATAAATTTGGAGACAAGAGATCTATAAAGGAAATGGGGAGTCCCCAGGCACTCACACCTCCCTTTTTGTTTTTTTCAGTTCATGAACCTTTGTTTTCAGCTCTTAATAACAGCTTTAAATAAGATATTTCAAGAAATTATAATTCATATTATTTTAAGTGTGTCTGTAATCCTTTCTTCAAGAGGCAATCAATCCTTTTCCATCCATAAGGCCCTATATTGCTCCAGCAGGTGAATGTTTTACTTTGTGTTTTCTGGGGTCACTGTTGGGTAGAGGCTACTTGCCCCCTAACATCTTCAGGGCTGCCAAGTCCTTTCCTCATTCTGTCCTCTGCCCATAGATTCCTAGTATGACTTTACTGGGTGGTGGGAGACCTGCCCTACGTTTGCAGTAGCAGGATTATAAATATTGTTGTTCATGTGTCACTAACTCAGTTTGAGGCTCAGAGATGTATCAGACAGCTTTAATATGATGAATGTTCTACAGAAGAGACAAGCGAGAATGAAATGGTCCAACTGATCCTTCCTGAGGAGTCTGGTAGTGGAGGGAAGAGTCAAAAGTAGAAGTGAGGTCTGGTCAGCAAATCACCTACCTCCTAAAGACAGGGTTGTTTTAGACCATTATCAGTATCATGCACATACAACCATGGGTCCAGGAGTGGTGAAGTGGGGTGTAGACACCTCCTGCCCCCAAAGCAGTGCTGCACATGGGCAATAAGCTCTGAGTTTACTGTCTGCTCAACATAGGCTCCTGCCAGATTTCCACCGGCACAATAAGCACTGTGAACTCACTACGGCGCTCAAGAAAAAAAAGGGTTAATGAATTCCAGTGTTCTCGGGTTACTGGAGAGTACCTCTAATTATGGATTTCTTTGTCTTTTTGAACTTTCGGCAACCTCCTTGCTATATTTTGGACATTTATTGTAGGTCTGTGTTTATTAGGAACAACTGAGCTTCATGTTCAGACCTAGGATATTTGTATTAGAGAGATCAGCAGAGTACTAAATGTGATTATTTCACTAGCATTTTTTCATTCACAACTACTCAAACGTACATTTGCAGTTTAGGCTCTGTTGGCACATGTAAGCCTCTGTCTGTTGCAATATGTTTCTGCTATGCTACATTACATCAGTAATCATAACCATTCATTTAAGTTTTCAGGATTTCTGACCTCTTGTACAAGTATTGCTGGTAATGATGCTGAATAATAGCAGTTGTGCTATCCCTGTCAAGTTCCACTGATATTATATATGTGATGTCTTGTACCATAACAGGAATGTTTCTATATATGTTCT